CAAATTCGAAAAGCAGCGCCATCATGAAGCACTCTTTTTTTCTTGCTAATTATTTTTGGCGTTACCTCTCGGTTCCCAAATGATGTGTGACCGTTTCTCTTCGCCCATTCTCGGATATTCAGCATTCATCAGTTATCAGTATTCGAGGATCCGTGCAAATCAATCAAGATATCTGACAAATTTTACGTCCTCCTATGCCCGTGATTTCTGCGCGCTATCCATGTAAGTCAGTCACCAGGACAAGTAATTAGTTTGTAATGTGAATTCCGCACCAAATATTTTAGCAGAAAAAATAAGTTCTCAAAACTCAAATTAGAAAAGGACTCCAGAATTGCATTTCAAAAGTTGTCTATTAAGTCTCTGCACACATCAGACACCTACCTTATTAGTGACAATTTGTGCTGTAGAAATTTTCTTTATCCTTCGATCAACGCGAAATACAGGATGCTGGGCACTAAAATAAGGGCGGAAAACATTGCGCACCTGTAAAATAGATTTTCATAGTTTCAGAAAGACATGAATACGTTTAGACTACGAAATGCAACTGGTGTGGCGACCATCTTATGCCTTGCTGAACTGAAGCTACATGTTCCTTCTAGGATTAAAAATTGTGTGGAAAATAGAAACAAAAAACAAAGCTGACCAAAGCGAACATGAAATTCAGCAGTAACGCATCACGCTAAAAAGGTGCACAGTTATGCGAGGAAAAGTTAGAAATAGCAATTCGATTAAAAAAAAAAAAAAAAACAGAGAGAATTTGAGGGCGATAAAATACTCGCGATGGATTTCCAAAAAAAAAGACGAAAAAAGTCAAAAAAGCACTTTTCTAACTCAGGCGCAGGATAGAGCGAGCGTCGTGCCTTTTGCTAGATGGGTTGCAGGGTGCAGAATTGAAAAACTACGCTTTTGGAATTCCGCTTGATTTTGACAGTCATTGAAGTAAAATTCAAGCAGTAAAGCACCACATTTGCCGGCGCAGCCATGTATTTTTGCGCAAATTTTGAAGCAGCCAGAGTTAACAGTATGAATAGTTGTTGCTTTATGGTTTGACACGCGCACTCATTTTAGCTGCCTTTTGTCCTTTTCTTGCACGAAAGGTGGGGCGGAAGGGGGAAGGGAGGATGTTGGCTAGAAAGGTCGTGTTGCATGGGGTGGCGTTGGATTTTTACTTTCGTGGCCGTTAATTTTTTGTGAAGGAAAAAATAGTTTCCGGTGACCGACTGTTCATTAAAAATGCAAAATGGACATAAATAGGTTTCTGAGAAAAAAGGATGACGAAGGCGGAGTTGTAAAATTGCTCGTCAAAATTTAAATGGCAAAGATGTATTTAAGAATTGAATTTGAAATCTTTAGATCGCACATGGACAGAGAACATCCTCCCAAAATTTCAACTTCCTAATCCACTCAGTTTCTGAGCTCGCAGTCTTCTCGCCAAAACTTTCGTGTGCCCGCATTTGAAGCTCAAACATGCGTAAAAATTGGTATGGCTTTCCTCGGTTCGTACTTGGCCAGGGAACAAGCTGGGAAAATTTCAGCATCTAAGCTTCTTGATTGTCCAGTTGAAATACCCTGGTAGACACATGCACATACACATTAACAAACAGCTGTATACACATACATACAAAAACACACACCATGGATCATCACAATATACGTTTTTGCATGTATGCAAATTGCAAAAACGCGTATTGGCAAGAGGCGCCCTGTGTGTGTTGGCACTTTTTGTCATCCAATTTGAACTCGGAAACTAGAAAAGCTAGAAGGCTGAAACTTCGGGAGTATGTCCCCATCATTTGTGCAACCCTCCCTTTTTAAGATCATTCCCGCGTACGCCTCGATGCCGCGTGCGTACGCCTCAAAAAAATATGCAAATTTTTTGGCGGAAAAGCGACCTGGAGAATTAAACAAGATAGAGAGATGAAACTTCGCAGGGATATTCTCTGTGCATGTGTGAGGTAAAGATTTCAAATTCAGCCTTAACAGACATATACACTCTGCATACGGACGCGTCAAAGTTATCGTTGGCAAGATGCCAATTTTGTGACTGAGTTAACTGGAATGTTCAAACATCATGAGAATATTTGTTTTCCATATACAATCAGACTTAACATGAGCTTTGACATACGCCTGGGTCGCGAGTTCCGATGCACCAAATATTCTACGTAACAAGAAGCGATTTCGGTGACCAGACATGCTAGGAAACTGAGAATAAATGAGGATACTCGATGCTCATGCACGACCAATATAGTACTGTTTAAACACTAGAGCATGCCCAGCTTTCGCGAGCGCTGCAAGTGAACTGTTAGTTTCAGACATCATTGACATACAAGTAAATTGGCAGTCGGGCCGGACAGGAAGCAGTATTTTACTATGTTCACTGTTCACGTGCAAGTCTATAGCTCCGAAATGTGTATCCGGTTATGTATATGCCCTGCACATGGACTGTTCAATTTGCTATACTATCATCATCATCATTACCTATCTCTCTCTCTTTTTATGCGTTTTTTGCAGCTATGCAATGCAAAAACACATATTGTCGAGGGGTTGTCTGTGTGTGTGTGTCTGTGTGTATGTATGTGTGTGTGTATGTGTGGCGTCTGTAACGAGTTTTCATCTCGAGATCCACAAAAGCTACAAGGCTAAAAATTTGGTTACTTAATCTACACATACGTGCGGGCTCGTATCCTCAAAATGGACGCTCAGGTTCGCGTGGTTCTCACGTAGGGGCACGCGAAAATTTTTTTGGCGGGAAAGCGTTTTCGGGAACGGCCCATGCTAGGAGGCTGGAACTTCACAGAATTGTTCCTTAGCCGTGTCTAATCCAAAGATTTCAAATTCAGCCTTCACGCACCCTCAGATCTCACGTACGCACACGTCAAAGTTTAAACTGGCATCGTGCCAACTCCAAATTTAAGGCGATCAATAAACCGCAGAGAACTGCAATTTTGCAGCGTTACTTGATGCCCACTGTTGTGTTCGTGAAAGTAAGTTACTTGTCAGTCCTTCTGCATCTCACGTACGAACATTTATACACACGTGAAATTTGACGTAACTCCGCAGCCAGAGCAGCTGGAGTGCTGAAACTTTCTGAGCGCTGCCCAGGACCGTGTTTGGCCAACCGCGGACGAAGAAAGCACTCACGTTGCCACTCACGTACAAACACGTGAAATTTGACGTAACTCTGCAACCGAAGCATCCAGAGCGCTGAATTTTTTCTGGGCATTTTTTGGGCACGTCAAATTTCACGTGTTTCTGACAGTCATGGTGGCCAGTCACAATAATTTCTGACAGTCATGGTGGCCAGTCACAATTCTTTTAGCTAGAAGCATCTGCCGGGAAGAGCATGCCACTGGCGAGAAAAACCTGCGGGGGAACTGTGCAAAAAACGCATCCTTGTACCGGCAGCCGGTACGCTTTCGACTAAATTCTCTCTCTGATTAGCCAGGCAAGAGAAATGTAATTTCTCGATAACGTTAGCATATCCCATACGGCACCGAGCGCACGATATCACTCTCCGCTAACGCCTACATCCTGCATACCGATATAGCAAAATTCAGGCTCCAAAACTGGTGGCATCTTCGTACTTTTCTACCCGGAGGGAATGACAAGTTACATTTCTAAGTAAATATTCTCTGATTATGAATTCTTGCAGGAGCAATTATTGCAATGTACATCTATATTTTTGTGTGTTTTTACTTATGTGCAAATGCAACCCAGACTGGAACGAACCAGGCTTGCTGGTGTGATCATGCGCTATAGCACTAAACTCGCGGGTCGCTAATAGCAGGAATGATTCCTGCTCTGTAGCTTAACACTTGGGCTCATATTGACCGTATTTTGACCCTTTCCGACATGCAGGAGGAAAGGTGTCCGTTGAGACGAAGGTGGTGCATTATAGAGCCACACGAACCTCCAGGTACATGAACACCAGTATTTTGCACGAAGCTCGGTCATTTTTATGCGTTTTTTGCAGCAATGCAATGCGAAAAACGCATATTGACGAGAGCTTGTCTGTGTGTGTGTTTGTATATGTGCATTTGTGTGTGTTTGAGTGTGTGTGTGTGTCTGTGGATGCGCTGGGCCTCTGTACCGATTTTTCATCTCGAGACCGGCAAAACCTACGGGGTCAAACTTTGGGGACTTAATCTATATGCACGTACGGGCTCCTATCCCCAAAATGGGTGGTCTTTCCCGCGTGGTACCCACGTGAAAGCCCGCCAAAGTTTTTACGGA